GACATTCAGAGAGGAGGGATCGTGTGGTTCTTTCCTGAAAAATAACCCGCGCGAGAAGTAAGTCAGAGTGCGGAAGGCCGTGGAGCGTTCCGCGGCTACAATGTGCCATTTAAGTTCCGCGATCCGTAGAGAGATACGAACGAAGGACTCCTCGCGAATTCCTCCAGATTTTTTTCTTTGCGCGCCCCTCTCCTTCTCTCCCTCTTTCTCCAATTCCGTTCGTTTAACGTGGAAAAATCGCGAACGTTTACGACAACTGAGGGATTACTTTCGCCTCCTTGAATCACGATCTTGGCAAAAATCGAATTTCCGGCGATCGAAGAGTCGCTTCGAGAGCAGCTTCTGCGATTATCGATCGCGCACTCGTTAAAACTCGATCAGATGTCACCCGTTCTTAATTATTAATATGCAGAGGCCGCAACAACTGAGGTGCCGCGTATTAAAATACATTCCCGTGCAACCTTGTTAATTAATTAATAAAGAAGTTTTAATCAAAGCATAATTTAAACAGCGTGAGAAATTTCCGGATTTGTGACATTATGCCGCTGTGATTTGTGCAATGCTCGCGAAACGATAAGGGCTTGAAGTTTGAAAGTGCCGTGAACGATAATCGTCGCGCGACAAATCCGTTTTAATTGCACAACCGCAAAGTTTTGTCGCGGATCGCGCCATGTTTGCTTGATTTCGTCGTGTTTTATCTACATCTCGTATATCACTCTCGACGTGTGCTGCCATACGCTCTCATAGGCGCAGCTAACGCCACTTGTATCTTGCAAATACTGTGAAAAAGTAATCTCGCATTTGGTGGATGGTTGAGCGCACTTTTCGTTGTAAATAACACGGAGTGACTAATCATTGTCGTTTCTGCGCCGACATTATTCCCGATGTCTCTCACGTATGTGTAACAATCGTCTAATTAAGGGTCGAAGGAAATAAATTTATATTTGTTGTATACACGTATGCGCACCTGCCGAGTGTAAAAGCCCCGGGCTGCGAATGTTACGTGCGGTGACGGAAACGCGTTTTCGAGACGTTATTCACGCGATGCCCGCAATGCAACACTCTATTCTTCGTGAAACCTTTCGACACCTGTCGCCGCTGTAAAAATGCCGCATAATTCCCACGGATTTCGGTCGCAACGCTTTCGCTCTCGAACCGCCACACACGGCGGTGGAAAACGCCAGAATCTCGCGGAGTTCAAGCGTCAGTGCCGTGGAAACGCGCGGGCGGAAACGCTTTCCCGACCTCCTCGTGACGGCGGAAACGCGACGTCGAGATTCGTCCTCTTGCTTTTCTCGTATCCGCGGCATCGAAGATTGAATTCGCCGATATTCTGATTTCTCTTTCAACGCCCGTCCGCCTCGCGAATCTTTCGCGACTGCGAGCGCCCACCGCCCTCTCATCTCCCCCCATGTGTGCCTCTGAAGTCGTTTTTCTCGCGTGCACAGTGGACGCGCGGTCGAACATGTTAAAGTCGCTCGGTATCGGAGCGAAAGATTTACCCTTACCGCCTTTACCGCCCACGGTTATCCAGGGGATCGCAATGGCGGGCGACAATGGGGTTGATAATGCCGCATCTACGGGCTCCGGCGCATCGGGGAATTGCACCACCGTCGTCTATGCGTTTCCCAAGGAGAAGGAGGATCGCTTAGTGGTGGGATACCTGAATGAGTGGATCAGTGCCTATTCCTTCATAACGAGTGAGTATTACACCATCGGTCGAGCATTGCTTTCAGCCGGTAAACCGACGCGCCGTCGCTATCGATCCGGACGACGAGTCCCTCTCCTCTTGCCAGGCTTGGATACGACAGGTAGTTTGTTCCACGAAAGAGACTCGCCGAGGGATATTTCTCTCCTCGTGCCTGCTTGCCTGCCTGACCACCATCTGGTATATGCACGTGAAGAGACACCTTTTCCGACGCGCGCGCGCGCGCTGGTCGATCGATTAATTCTCGCGCAGTTCAATTTTCAACGTTCAGTAAAAAGCGCGTTATATATTATTATATAATATTTCGGAATGTAACGTTCATAGTGTGAAAGTAAAAAAAGAAAAAGCCCCGTGCGAGTACAATATCGAGAAAATTGAACGAATGCAAATTAATCGGCTCGTGTTTCAGCTCGGAATCATGTCGAGGCGATACGTGTAACTGCTAAATGTTCCCGGATTAGCAGATTTGAGCATTGTGTTGTTTGGCGTTGCATTGTTCCTCCGCTCGGGATAATTAGCCTGGCATGTTGGTTGATTTATTTTTCTGATTTCGCAGCCCCGTCAGCATCATACGAGTATTATTTTCTGCTTATCTACACGTATATGCGTAGACAATGTACATTTACAGCTGGACGAAGAGGCGGTCCATCACGGATAGAGTGAGAAGGAGGAGTGTTAATCGATAGTTGTATTCTCTCTGCAAAATGCTGAGAGTTTGCTTCGACTGACGCGCGAATTTAAAACGCACCGTTTAACCGTGATTTTCGCAGAGAACCAGGAGAAATTCTACCTCTACATCATTCTATCGGTCAGCGGCGGTATCCTGGTCTTTCTGGCGTTGGTGATCGGCCGCCTGTTAGTCAGCCGATGGCGCGCCAAAAGAGATGCGAAGATGCACGCGAATAACGAGGCTCTCCCGAATGGCTTCACCGACGATATTTCCGAGATCGATGCCGACATCGATCTTACGACAGCGGTACCGGTGCCAATGCAGGGCGCAAGGTAACTCTCTCTCTCTCTCGCGAGGGATATATTTTTCCGAGCTCCTTGAGAGAAAAGAAAGGGAATCAATCGCGTCACGTTATTAGAATGGTTAATGGAATTGCTTCGACGTGGTCTTTCCGTCGTACTTGCAAATCTGAAGCAAACTTCTCACTGTGTGGTCACTCAAGTGTGATCACACATATGTGAGGATAAGACTAAGAGTACGTTAAAGGTCATTGCACGTGAAGAAGTCGTAACCGTAAGACTGTAGGCAAATTGACCAACCACAGTCGATTATTCTTTTACCGTAAGACGAAGTGTCGACTGTAGTTGATCAATTTGCTTACGGTCAGAATTTTCTCAATTTTCTCGTACAGTGTCTCGAGGGATCGTAGCACCGTGAGGAGTAAAAATTAGGTAAAACTTGGGGAGCTGTGAAAAGTTGTAAATTAATAGGAATATGAACTTTTTGTTATGCGTGTCTATTATGTACATTTAATAATGTCTTGTAAAAAGTTAGATTTTATGGTGTATTATATCATTATTATTAACATCACTCTTTGTTTTCTTCAGTTCTGTTCTGCAAAAGAATCATACATCAACAGTAACCATCGTGGCCTCGACAGAAACGATCTGATTAAAATAATAAAAATCATATCGTAATAAATGAGTATTTCTTGAAGCGGGTACATTTTAAATATATTATTGCAATGTCATCACAAAGTATACATTAAATGTTTGCATACTATTTTTAGCACTCCTTTATATCTCGGTCGTTAAGTGTACTTAATACACATGCATAAAAAAGAAATTCATATTCCTATCAATTTACAACATTTTACCTCAAATTTCACCTCAATTTTATTCCTGTCAAAAATACTTACCGTGCGTTCGGAAAAATGTTAACATTCCAAGCTCCTCTCTCGAAATAATTCCAACGTTTCCCCGCCTTATATATATTTTCCGCAATGAAATTAATAGAAAACGCTAACGTTGTTGTGTAAAAGTTCTCCCTCGATATTTCTGTAAAATCGATTTACCTTCGTCAGGGAACAGTTGCCAATTACATTTCGTTATTCTCCCGAATAGGTTACCGGAGACTCAGTTGGCCGAGAGGCTCCACGGCGAGCGTTACTACGTCGACACGAGGATACCTCTGTCCCCGACTACGATCCACGCCACCCCGGTGCACCACCCGACCAGCACGGGGGTGCGCGACCTCGGTAACCAATTGGTCGCCACTGACAATCTTCACACGATCCTCCGCAAAGAGAACCCCCGAAGCCTCAACAGCAAAAGTTACTACTACGGCTGACAGGAGGAAGGGGTTGTCCCGCGCGAGGGACGACCCCCGTCCTTGAGCCCGGTACCGGAAGTGAGCACACGGAGGTATTGCTTCTAATCGGCGAGACGGGACGCGCGTACGTAAAAAAGGAAGACACGGGCAGAGACCGAGGCACGTATTCGCCGCACCAAGCCGCTGTAAATTACATTGAATCACTCGGACGAGACGTTGTCGATACGCCGAATGGTGTGTCGTAACGGTAACAACGCGATCTCACGGATTTGCCGGACTACCGATGGCGGACCCGGAGGATGGGATCTCGTCTGCTGACGCTTGTCGAAAGAACCGACCGGACTCGTGAACTCGTGTGCACTTCAGCAAGTGTTGTTGTCCATTTCGCGGAGATTCGCGGCGATCCCTGGATCCTCGGGATTACGGAATCCTTCGTTGTCAGCGGAAACGACGACGTGTGGAGAAGACGAAGAGGAAGGAAGAAGTGGGCGATTTGTGTTGGGTCACGACGGACGGGTCCGCCTCTCGCTCGTGTGCTCTCGCGACGAGAGTTCACAGAGAGGATCGAGCTGTGAATGTGTATAACGAAGCTCAAGCACCGAGTGCTTTGTTTGAGCGAGACTGGAAATAGCTTTAGGGACAAGCGTTTACGTTAAACTATGCGTTCGAGCGTCTATAGCGATTTAATGGAAAGGACAAACCGCATTATGCGATCCGGCGCGCGACAGGATCCTCCGGATATCTCCGGGAAGAGAGGGAAAGAGAGAAAGGTGTCTCCCAGAGATGAGAATCGATAGCGCCGAGGAGGAGGGAAGGAGAGTAGCCGGTGTACTGCGTATGACGTTTACTTTCTCGGGCTGTCGGCGAGTTAAATCAACGGACTAGAGTTCTGTTTGGCTCACATAGATGATTAACTACGTATTTCCCGAGGAAACTGCGTTATCGATCCCATAATGCCCGTCGAGCGCGACTCACTCACTCATCGTGTATACCTTGTACTCACCGTGTATCATCGGCGGGACTTCGCCCGAGCGATGCGGCTTCCCCGAAGCGTATATCGATCACGTTTCGCCGGTAACAGCGTTCTTGCCGACAGACCTCTGGGACATTTTATCTCGCGGCAGATCCCTCCTCGAGCTGTACCATCCGCCAGCCATCGGGAGAGAACTTACCCCAAACGGTTCACGTCTCGAGAACACACGCGATACGGGGAGTGGCTCGAAAGGTCGGTCCATTCGCGAGCGATATTTCGCACGGGATATTTCCCTTTCCCGCCGTTAATGGCCGAGATTTCAGCCGACCAATCTCCTCTCCGAAACTCGTTGCGCAACGCTACCGCGTTAGAATTATATTAACCGACGTTCCTTCAACATTAAAATCGTCGCTCGTGCACTGACCGATTGCGATCGTCGGTCGTTGTCGCGGAAGAAGGAGCTGCTGAGGTAAGGTGCGAGGGAAAATCTCTCAACGAACTTACAGCGGTTTTGTGTATCGAAGCTACGCTGCTACAGTCACGAGACGATTTTTATAGAAATTCACATGTATGTATATCATTGTTGTAAATAGGAACATGTAATTTAATATATATAGATAAGTAAAAAAGGACTGAGAGAGAGAGAGAGTGTGTGTGTGTGTGTGTGCGCGTGTATGCGTGGTAAAAATACATGTAATAAGACTCAATCGAAACTGTGCCGGAGATCGTAGAGCTGAGGGTCGTCCTTCGTGCCATACAATCGATTTTGCAAACGTGCGGGAAAAAGGGAGAGCGCGCACCCGTCGGGCCAGCAGAGGCTCTGCCTCGTGGACGATCCCAAGGATTAGCACGTAATAATAATAATCAGAGCTCGGATTTTCCTTCCAACAAACGAGCGCGGACACCGCACCGGCGACGCGCGATCCTACTTGTCGTACGTTCTCCTTCTCAGCCAATCATTGATCGCTGAGCTTATGCAGGATCGTAGGATTGTAGTAACGCTAAGACGACGACGACGACGTCCGTTAAAGTCAGAACGTCACGAAGAAGCCGATAAATGCACGCCAACTTTATGTGAACTAATTGATCGATGTCTGATTTCAAGTTTGCTCGCGCCTTGAAGTGGTTGAAAATGTACGTTTCGGAGAAAGAGAAACTTAAAATCTTTTCTTTTATGATTTATTTCACATATATATACATATGGTGTTTATACAAGTAAAGATTACATAAACTGTCGAAATTGACGTCCTTCAATATTATACACAATATAGCGCGATCTAAAATGAAGCGAGTAACCGCACGAAGAACATCATGATTGTTCCTACTTTTCTACAATCGTCGTTAATATTCTATTAATTCATTCAGCTCCGATGTATCATTTCCTTCCGTATATTAAGCTTTAACTCTTGGTTTTCGTATATTAAGCTTTTAATCTCGGTTTTCTTTCTTATTTTCCATTCTTTATAATTTTCCCCAAAATTGTGTCATTGTTTATAAATATATAAATTTTCAACATTCGTAGATGGATAACCGTTTCGAATTGTATTCACGTATATAGGGCACTTTTTCCATCAGAAACACGCTTCTTAAGATTGTACAGTATGTCATGTAACACATCCTGTGGGTGTATATTAATATATTACACGGTCTTTCTGGGGATATTCTGACTCTACTGACGAGCAGTCAGTGCTCGGCTACTTCGCGACAGAGAAGGAACCACACGGACTCATCTAACGCGTGAAGAGGCCGTCACCACCGTCGCTCTGCACTCGCGGTGCATTCTTTGTATATCACAAGAGCTATCGATGTAATTTCGCTCAACTTCACCCGTAGTGTGCAACGAATCCGAACACTAGCGGGTCCCGTTCTCGTTGTTTGTTTGTATGTCGTTCGGTAAGTCGTAATCC